ATGATGATAATAACGATATCAGTGGAGTAAATAATGGGCTGGAATATTAATACCTAGAATATGGATGGCGTCGATAGAAAATGGAAATATTAATAATGATGATGACGGCAATAAATGATACAGATAACCACCGGTGAAATATACAAAACAATATATATATATATATATATATATATATATATATATATATATATATATATATATATATATATATATATATATATATATATATTAGAAAAATACCGATAGAATTATGAGAAACAGAAGATGCTTATCCCTAAAAAAATAAATAAATAGATATATAAATAAATAGGTAAATAACCTGATAAAAATGCGTACATAAATAAACAGAAGAATAAAGATGAATGATGATAGAATTATAAAAATAACGAAAACGCATATAACGATAGTAATAATATTCATGATAACAATTATAATGATGATAATGATAATGACGATAATAATAATAACAAAAAAACAACAATCCAATAATAACAACAACAATAATAATATGAAAAACAATACCAATAATAATACTAACTAATTGCTAACAATAACAAATACTAAAATAATGATAACAACAATAATGATAAGAACAATATTAATAAAAACAACGACAACGATGATAACAAAGACAACGATAACAACAAAGACAATATTAATGATAAAACTAAGCGAATCTGGAAGTTGCGATTTCTTCGCCCATGTAGAAGCATCTGTTTCCCATAGCGAGCATTAGCGTCCACTCATTAATGAGGCAAGTTCATTAAGCTAGTCCCTCATTCATTCAAGCCGGGTAAGAACACTCACGCGGTGATGAATTAAGTCTTTGATGAATATACTTTAGGGATGAGTGCAAGAGAGAGATGAGGATGTGTGTGCGTGCAAAGAAGGCGGTGAAAGGGATGGGAAAGTTAGGGGAAGAATGGGGAAAGGGAGGGAGGGTGAGGAAAGAGAGTGGGAGGAGAAATGGGGAGAGGGAGGAAGGATGAGGAAAGAAAATGGAGAAAGGGAGGGAGGGTGGGGAAAGGGAGTGGGAGGAAGAATGAGGAAAAAGAGTGGGAGGAGAAATGTGGAAAGGAAGGAAGGATGAAGAAAGGGAGATGGAGGAGAAATGGGGAAAGGGAGGGAGGATGAGGAAAGGGAGTAGGAGGAAGAATGGGGAAAGAGAGGGAGGATGAGGAAAGGGAGGGAGAGGAGAAATGGGGAAAGGGAGGAAGGATGAGGACAGAGAATGGGAGGAATGATGAGGAAAGAGAATGTGAGGAAGAATGGGGAAAGGGAGGAAAGATGAGGAAAAAGAGTGTGAGGAAGAATGGGGAAACGGAGGGAGGACGAGAAAAGAGAGAGTGAGGAGAAATGGCGAAAGGGAGAAAGGATGAGGAATATGGTCGTGTTGTACAAAAAAAAACGTCAAACGAGCTTTTATAACTAACTTGTTTTTTCTATGTGGGGGAAAGGAATCGATTTCACAAGAAAAAAATACTTAAATAGATTTAGGTAACTGTCTTCCAACCATACAAAATATTTTTCTATTGTAGATAAAGAACTTACGAAGGTAACATATATATGATTAAACAAAACACCTATCTGTATAATGATCTTATAGTGGATGCTTTAAAAGTTCTATGTCGACTTATTTCAGAAAGAATACAAAGTTGACGTAAAAAAAAAGAAAAAAAAACAAACTTATCATGTGCTTAAAGAGTTCGCGGAAAACGGTTAATGCTTAAATAAACCTTATTGTCAGAGGATGGAAGCTCTATAACGAGATACGAGGTGGAGGAAAGAAAGGGAGGGTTAGAGAAGAAAGGAGGAGAGGAAGGAAGAAGAGAAGTGGGAGGGAGAAAGAGAGTGTGAGGAAGAAATGTGAAAATGGAGAAAGGGTGAGGAAAAATGTCCGTGCGTGCGGAGAAGGAGGTGGAAAAAGAAAAGGGAAGATTGGAAGAGGAATTGGGAAAGGGAGAAGGAATGAGGAAAGAGAGAGTGTAAGGAGATATGAGATGATTATCTGGGTGAGATTGTGGTGAGAGGAGAGACAGATTATCAAGAGGAGAGTCTTTGCGAACGAAGGTCGGAAAGAGACGGAGAGAGAGAGGGGGGGGAGGTAGGGGGAAATAAACATATAAATAGATAGATTGATAGAGAGAAGGGGGGGGGAGACAGACAGAAATAAACAGAAATAAGCAGAGAGAAAGAAAAACATATATGAAAGAGATAGAAAGAGCGAAACAAAAACATACACAGAGCAAGAGAAAGTAGAGATACCCACTCAAGATGGACGAACTTCGCCACGACTCAGCTACGAACTCCAAGCCCAACTTTCCCCCGTGAAACTCAACCATTCATCATTGTTATTAAACAGACTAACTATCCGGCGACAGGAGACTTGGGAGGAGATCTTCAGCTTCGGTGGACTGCTTGTTAAGCTGGGGAGATGCTTGAAGAGCAGCTTAGATAAAATCATACACACACATACACACACAGATACACACACACAGATACACATACACACACACACAGATGCACCCCCACACACACACATACACACACAGAGAGACACACACACACACACCTAAACACACACACATATATAGACGCACAAACACAGTTACACACACACACACACACACACACACACACACGCACACACACACATATGAATGCTAATGTGCGGATGTATGTACGTATGCATCTCCTTGTGTGCACATATAAACATAAATTCCTGTGTCTGAAATACGGTGAAGACCCAATGACGTGTTACCTTCGCCCTTATCAGATGAGAGACAGACAGACCAACGCGGTGCTTGGAGTGCGTGCGCGCAAGCTCGCTTCTTGAATCGAGTTCCTGTTATTAAATATATTTTTCTCTGTCGTGTTTCTGTTATATAGTGTTAACACACTTACGTACACATATACCACATATGTTCAAAAAGCAAACACACACGCGCACACACACACACACACACACACACACACACACATACACACACACAAACAAACAAACAAACGAAAAAAAACTCGGCCACGCACTGAGAATATCACATAATACTTCATATCTAATTAAATAATTAAAAAAAAAAAATCATCACCGCCTCCCCCCCCCCCGTCCCTACGTTCAGTAAGGCACGAAATCATCTTTTCTCGGATTTCTGTAACTACGTAGAGATCTTTTAGAGACAAATATTGCTATTGGAAAAAAAAAAACGGAGGGGAATGATCACCTGTTTTCTGTTTGTGCTTTTTGAGGATCTGTGTGAAGTGTATGTCAATTGGCTGTGTATGTGTTTGTCTGTTTTTTTTTTTTTTGTTTTTGTTTTTGTTTTGTTTCTCTCTCTCTCTCTCTCTCTCTCTCTATCTATCTATCTATCTATCTATCTATCTCTCTCTCTCTCTCTTTTTCTTTCCTTCATTTTTCTCTTTATTCTTTCTTTAATTTTCCTTTATTTTTTCTTCTGTTTTTCTTTCTTCCCATTTGTCTTTGGTGTCACTAGTTGCTGGATAGGTTGTTTTCCTTGTTAATATGATTATTAGCATGATTGTTTTTATTTATGCACATGTGTATGTTTATATTTATGTGTGTATTTATGCACATGTGTATGTATATAAGTATGTGTGTATTTATGCACATGTTAATGCTTATAGGTGAGTGTATATTTATGCACATGTGTATGTTCATAAGTATGTGTGTATTTATGCACATGTGTATGTTTATAAGTATGTGTGAATTTATGCACGTGTGTATATTCATAAGTATATGTATATCTATGCACACGTGTATTATGAATTCGATTGCATGTGTTTATGTCCTTACATCAGGTGCATGGTGAATTATCAAAACGAATTTTAATCGACTTTTGTGAGAAAACGACGGGAAAATATTTATAATAATAATATAGAGTAATATTATAAGGTATTTGAATTACACGTATCTTTTGTAAATTATAAATCGCTATTGATTAGTGCACAGGTGAATCGAACAGAAGCGAAGAGGATTATTTCAATTACATGAATATTCAATTAAAAGTTAGATGTTAATTACCTTGTAGTTATATCGAAATCTCATAAATGAAACCCTAGTTCACTTTTTTCTTCTTCTTTTTTCTTTTTCCTTAGAGGACTCCAATTTCCTGTTCATGTCATTATGCATTCAAGACAAAACAAAAAAAAAATGGAATTTTGAAATATTCTTTTCGTCCAAGATGGTTAAAAAAATGTAAACAAGAAAAGGAAGAAAATATGTAATTCAATATCCTCCTACAGAGATTTTCCTTTACTCTGAATTCTACTTTATGGAATTCAGTCTCTGCATGATTTATTCGATACTGAAATTTTATGAGGTGCGTGAAATAGTCTGGAATATAAGAGTTTCCCCTCGTAACGTTGGACACTTTGCCACTCCGCTTTTCTTTTTTTTTCTTTTAATACAGTTTATGTTTTGGTTTTGATCTTTTTTTTTTTTTTTTTTTTGTTCTTCATCGTTTCTAAAAGCACGCACGAAAACATAGGTCATCCTTCAATGAGGGCAAATAAACAGCAAATCCTTCACAATATTCAATGATTCTTGCAGTTTTGTCATATTTTTTTTCTTTTTTCTTTTTTCTTTTTTTGAAATATTAGCTCTTTCCTTACCTTCAAAGTTCTCTCGAAAGTCATATCTTGCTTCAACACAAGCCCGTGGTCGTTGCCTCATTTTGGGTGGAACCTGGATAATATGCATAAAAACACATGCATTCCACTTTTCCAGACATACATGTGTGTGTGTGTGTGTGTGTGTGTGTGTGTGTGTGTGTGTGTGTGTGTGTGTGTGTGTGTGTGTGTGTGTGTGTGTGTGCTTGTATGTGCATACGTGTGTATTACAAGTTTGCATATTTGGCTTGCCCAAATGCAATCGCCCATATGCACATTCCCATTCTACAGCCCACGCATTCACACGCACACACACACGCACAGCAGCGCGCCAAAACAAGACGGCCGAACAAAAGCGCAGCGCCACCAACCTGTGCGTCAGCGGCCCAATGATAGGGTTGGTAATGAGCTGCACGACCGCCTTGGAGCAGAACAGCAGGCCCACTTCCACGTTCTCGTTGACCAGGTCTTCGTGGTTCATGCCCAGGAGCTCCGAGCCCTTGTGGTGCACGATCGCAGTCGACGACGGCAGGTCGGGCGGCCGCTCCGTCCTCGTCAGGAATTCGGTCGTGGGCGGCGGCTTGCCAGGGTCTATTGACGAGGCGGGGAAGGGGAAGGGGAAGGGGGGGGGGGGGGGGGGGGGGAGGAGGAAATGGGGATAATGGAACGAAGGGGGACGACGAAGGAGGAGGAGAAGGAGATGGGGAGAAAAGAGATTAGATGTCGAAATTACGAGTTTGCTTATTATTTTCCCGCAGCCGAGAGATTTTAAGGGCGGCCTGAGGAGGGTCAGCCGAGTCACAGAAGTATAAGTTTGTCCTTGCAACATGCTGGACTCGGAGATGCGAGAGAAAGAGAGAGAGAGAGAAAGAGAGAGAGAGAGAGAGAGAGAGAGAGAGAGAGAGAGAGAGAGAGGGAGGGAGACAGAGAGAAAGAGGGAGAGAGAGAGAGAGAGATGCAAGAGAAAGAGAGAGAGAGAGAGAGAATGAGAGAAAGAGATAGATAGATAGAAAGAGAGAGAGAGAGAATGAGAAAGAGAGAGAGTGAGAGAAAGAGATAGATAGATAGAGAGAGAGAGAGAGAGAGAATGAGAGAGAGAGACAGACAGACAGGAAGACAGACAGACAGACAGACACACAAGCAGGCAAACAGGCCGACAAACAAACAGGTACACAGAAAGACAGAAACAGACAAGATATAATGGGAGATAAATAACAACAGATAAATTCAATGACATATGCACACAGATACAAGATATAGGTAAAAAAAATATATATATTCTGCTGACCTTCGATATTTCCTTAACAGAAAACGATTATGAGAATGTAGAAGAAGAAGAAAAATAACAAGTTTGATAATGATGAAGTGATTTAGAGTGATCCAACAGAAGAAAAAATCTAAAAAAAAAATTTATAACGATGACGTATTTTATATTGATCCTCAATGTATCAATTTAAGTACTGAATGATAGCAGATTCACTAAACAAAACGGCTAAATAACCAAAACACAGACACGTAAGAATTATATAAAGAACGATTTTAATGTACATATACTTATTTAACTGTGTATGCTGTTTCTTGTTATATATGCACGTCTGTTTGTTGTATTATGAGGCTGTTGTGAAGATATTTTATTTATTCCATTGTATTCAGATCCAAGATTGTTTGCTTCTTTCCTTTTTCTGTTTTATGTTCACTAATATACTCTATATACACTTATTGTCTGTCTTATCTTTAATCTTATTTTTTTGCTCTTTTATATATGTATGGCTGAAGCTGAAAGGAAGAATGTTATTATTATGATCAAATATCAAATCTAATCATTGAAGATTCATCTGGCCGATTCTGTACTTGTAATAAACGACTCTTTTTTCAAAGAAATATCACGAATTACCACCTATGCCCCATAACCGCCCTTCCTTACCTCCTCTTTCACCCTTTATTTCCTCCCTGTTTCCCTCTTTATTTTACCTTCTTACTTCCCTTTTATCCTCCTTCCCTCCCATCCTTCGTTCTCTCCCTTCTGTGTATTCCATCTTCCTTCCTCCCTTTTCACCTTTCCTCCTCTTTTTCAGCTTCCGTCCTTCTTCCTCCTTTTACCTCCCCCCTCCCCTCCCCCCTTCTCTTTTCTCCCCCGTCATCCCCACCTCCCAAGCAGCCTCGACGTCACCCCAGACATCGCGCTGACGTCACCACCTCAAGATACTCGTTAGAGATATCGTGGACACGTTTCCCTCGCTCGCCAATGGTGCCTTGTCCTCCCCTGGCCGGCTCTTGCTTGGCGATTGTCATTTTTTTTTCGTGGTTGCTTTCTGTCTTCGGGAGAATTCGAGCAACAGGTTGTTATTTCCGGGTCATTTTCTCCGTTACTGCGTTGTACCTTTTATCTTTTCAAGTTATTTTCTCAGTTACTGTACTATATATCTATCTTTATTTTCATTATACTTTTATTTTACTCTATTCTTTGATAGTAGTCATAACACAGCAGCAGTGCAAAGATAGTGTTGCTGTGTTATAGCTGTGCAATACATCAACATCCTTTAAGTGTTACATTTCCCTATCGACCCACGATGAAAGCCAAAGATATATCAAACAATTGCCAATCATTATTAATCATGAATTTGACCCTCATTTCAACGGCACAGGAAAAGCAACATATATGACCCACTGTTTAATATTGAAGACATATAACACTTTATTTTTTCTAAAGATATATTCCCATTTTCCGTTGAAATTGAAAAGCATCTATTTTCCCACACGA